AAATATTTTATTCAGATTTTTGAATTAAAAAAAAAATCGCAACCCTGTTAAATATCTATAAAGTACCTTTACCTTCCAGACTTAATATTTCAATGAATGTCAAGAGTTATTGTTATTACATGATATTTTTTAAAATGCGTATATTTCCATCATTGTAAAAATGTCATAATTCCAAGACTAACGGGTTGTAGAATATCATGTTATTATTTTTTAGCAACTACCTAAACCTTAATATTGCTTGTTAAAGGCAGGGGGTTTTTTTTAGGAATTATTGGTGAAGTTTAAAAGAGACAAAACTAACAAATACAGAGCACATATGTAATTGCCCTAGACAATAAGTTTATTTAGCAAGGAAACGTGATAATATGTTAATTATAAAATATGAATATGTCGTTAATATTTCAATGCATTACATGGACCAAAGTGAGAAAAAGAAATTAAAGAAATTATTGATTTAAAAACGTCAAAAATTGTTAAGAATAACAGCTTTCAATAACTTAATGTATTTATACACAGAATAAGCTGCTTAAATCATTCAATTCTGAGAAAAATTAAATAATCAACAAATACAGTGCAAAATTTTCTGCAACTCAGCACGTTTTATACACAAAACCCGTTAGTAAAAACAWTTGTTTAAATCATTAGTGAATATTTTTTTTAGGAATTAAAAAAAGATAAACAATACAATCTACTAGTTGTTACACGACCATGACAAACGAAATGAGCTTTTAATAATTTTTTCAGGTATTCCGTGTGCCTGAAACGGCTACCGTGCTCCTCAGGTAAATGCCTAAAAATTCAAATTAATTGAATGCAAAATAAAGAATATAATTAAAAAACAATAAATAAATAAAAAATTTAATTTCATAAAACTGTATTGAAGATTTGTTGGCAAAAATAAATCTTTAAATAGTTAAACTGTAAACAACCTTTTAGCAATACTAACATTAAAAACAACAACAAATTAATGTTTACAAAATACATTCTTTACTTTTACTTAAATCAAATACTGCCAGCAAATATACAAATTATACATTTTGTGCTTTATATATACATATATAATCTGTTCAAGCTATGAGACGTAAAGTACTATAGAATACAATGACACATACAATAATCTAGTATACAATAACTTTTTTAAACATTTTTTGCACTAATTAAATTTAAAAAAAAGAAAATTTTTCAAATTTGCGTATTTCCGCAATTGAGAATTGTTCACGATTTTTTTTTTCGAGTTTCATCAAAATAAATGTTGACTGATTTAATTTTTAATCTCTTCTTCTTTTGTGAAAAATATAGTGGTGGCGTTAAATTCTCGGATCTCACAGATAAAGAAGGTAATTACTTGCATTTATATATGTATATGTTTATTAAATTAAAAGAAAATACTATATAATAATATATAATACTATATATACTAAAGGAAAATTTTGATGCAGACATGAAAAAAATATTTGCAAGCAATAAAAATGCAAAAAACATGAACATTCGCAAAAAATTATAAAAATGAATTAAAAAGTGAAGCGTGCGGTTTTATTGAGTAATTAAATCTAGATTAATTGATTGCAATTAAGATTGCAAGCCTATACATACATAAAATAGGGTTTGCTTTTATTTACTCTCTCACTCATTTTTTCGTTGAAAATGTTTAAAAATAAAATTTATTTATTTATTTCATTTATAACAATTTTAATTAATAGTTAACTAAGAAATACAAGAAAAATATCTAAAATTTATTTTCTGTTTACTTTCAACCGTATTGATATTTCCATATACATTTCTACGCTTTCCTTATACATTATAACTAACCACTGTGACTRGCTGAGTCAATTTAGTCTCTCAGTTTTTGAGATATCGATCTAAAATTTTGCACATGTCTCTCTCCCCGAGAAGCAGTGCTTTTGGTGGAAACGCYGATATCGGACCACTATAGCTTATAGCAGCTATACTGACCAAGGAAACGATACAATCTCCGAGCAAATTGTTCCGTTCCGATTACTACATCATGTAGGTGCCATAAAAACTGACCGATCAAAATTAAGTTTTTATATGGAAAGGTTTTTTACTTGTAAAGGGTATTATAGCTTCGGTGCAGTGTTTTTTTTTTTTTAATTTTAAACGCGATGTAAAGGCGTTATATTAACGTACATATGTAATCGCAGGATAGATAGTWACGTATCTTTCTACCAACAAAGAAATAACCCTGATTCGCTCAATGTGAAGGCATCTTCAGAGTATAGTATTTCGTTTGCCTTCTCAAAGGTCATGTTCGCCGTTTTCCGTCACTCGCAAGTATTTGCCAAATATTTCTGACTAGCGGTTTTTCATTCGGCTTGGTTCGTACTCAACGTGCAAATAGTTGTACTATGTCGTACCAACAAATTGAAAACAACTGCAMAAATATATGTGGTGCACACATTTAAACATACATACATACATATGTATGTACGTATATCAAGTTGTAAGTACATACATATTTCTTTGTAGAAATGCATTCTTGCGTAGGTGCATCCGCTAGAGCACTTGGCTAGGTACACTTTCTTGCACTTATCTGTGTCAACTCGGATGGCACAAAGTCCCATCGTCGTCAGTTGGACATTTGTCAGTTATTCAACAAACGGCGCGCTGATATACATATGTATGTATGTACATACACATGTGTATATAAACATATGTTTTGTACWACATATGAATATGTACATATGTACTTTGGTTTGCAGTTTATTTTGATTCGCGTTTAAAGAAAATAATAGTGTTTGTTATTGGAGCGGGTTATTGAAGTSGTGCCAAAGCGCCTGCTATGCTTTTCTCAAAAATTCACGTTGCCAGGCGTCACATTTCTTTCATGCTCACGTTCACGTTATTTGGCTTTAGTCCCGCGTAACAGCGGGCCCCCATATTTGTGGTCATCTCAGAGCCTAATAATGACTGCATTAGTCAATTTATCACCAACCCCCAAAGCTGCAAAAAAAAGCTGATAAATAAGAATACCTTTGTGTCTTTTCGCYCTACCTCCTTTATACTGAGCTCTTCTTTTTTATTACATTTCGCTTTTTTATTACTTTGTGTTGATCACTTTCAAATGTTTAGTATACAATAAATAATGCCATTGCATGTTCGTGTCTAATTAGATTTATTTGTTTTTGTGCGTTTTTTTAGTTTTTTTTTATGGTTTGTGTTTGTTTATACAACAACAATAATAAAAAAACAGAAAAGCACGCAAAAGACAATTTCCATGCAATATGTCAACTCGTGCCGTGAGCTAATTTGGGGTATTSGGTTTTGTGATAGAAATTGTTTACCCTAATTGGGAGCACTTCATTTTTATAACCTCAAAGTAAAAAGATTTCCATAACTCTCATGCATTAATTTCGCGTATCATCRTGTATTTAGTTGATAGCTTGAGAATTATAACTTGTCTGATGAAATAAAATTGTAAACAAACGCTCACATGTGCATGTGTAAATACTTTACCAAACAAAATGTCGCGTGACTTCTTTAAATTCAGAAAATTACTTGCATTTCGGAAAGTTATTTCAACAATTACAAAATTTAAAAAAAATATTCCTTAATGTTAAGGTCGAGGTTATTCGGAAGAAACATGAGCAATTCCAAAAAAATGGGAGATGCCCCTAATTAACTGATAACATATGTATGTATGTGTGTATGCATGTACAAAGTTACTAAGTAATCAATATATACATTTATTACATACATATGTATGTACTCATTCAAATTATTAAATATACAATCAAAGTCCACCAAAAGATAACTTTGTCTTATGTATTAGATTTTTTTTGTAATAAGATTTTTTTTCAAGGTTTACAAAGTTTATTTTTATTTATTTATTTATTTTATTTTTATAGCCATGGCCGTGTCTGTATATATGTAGTTATGCGATTTTTGATATATAAATGTGAAACTTTGCTTCTCCTCTTTCTTTCCCATGAGGCCGATCATTTGCAGAAGTTTGGCCTACATTGCAACGTTGCAATCTCTGAAAATATTGTTCAGAACGGACTATTTCAATAACTGCATTTCAAACTTATCGATCAATATAAAGACCTTGTATGGAAAACTTTTTCATTTGACAAGATATCTTCATGAAATTCGGCATAAATTATTATCTAAGGCATTCTTCGAGTAAAATGTTCATATCGCACCACTATAGCATAYGACTGACATACAAACTGAGCGAYCAGATCCAACTTCGTTTTGGAAACTGTATCAGGTTGCACTTCTACTTATCCAGAACACTTATMAAACACCAACTTTGCATGCTCAACAAACTCTCCCTATGGTCCGACCCCACTGAGACCACGTTCCCTGGGCCTACCCATAGATGAATTTAATAACAACCAACCTGAACTTTACCTCTAAAGCRATAACTGTTACAACTACAACAATCAAAATCAAGTAAATGTTTGTCACGCTATACAAATTCTTCGAACAAATTGTTCAGATCGGATCACTATATCATTTAGCTATAGTACAACACAAACTATAGTTTGTTTTTATACCCCATTATATAATTTGAAAGGCACCTGTAAAGGGTATTATAGCTTCGGTACAACCGAAGGTAGCGTTTTTTCTTATTTTTTAGGATTGTTTATTAATTTTATTTATTTCATAATTATTATTTTCGTTTTTAATTTTTTTATGAATTTTCTTTTAATGTACACCACTATTACACCATTTTTAATTTTGAAGTGCTCAGCAATTAGAAAAGCATACACAGCAGTTAATATACATACATAAAATATCTGTAAACCGAAACCGCATGACCAACTGTGTAAATTCTTCCTTGGCTTTGAAACTCKCCCATTGACTACTTTACTCCATTTCAATCGATCGAATTTGTCTTATTCAAATAGAATTATCTACTTACCGTTTCCGCACACGTCTAAACCTGTGGGCTTTAAAAGAAATTAGTACACAAAAGCTATACAGACCTACACATATAAGTAGTATAAAACGTTTTGCCTCAAGTGTAATTGGCAGGCGGGCATTTTTTCATAATGATAAAATTGATTGATTCAATAAACGTTGTCGCATTTGAATGAGCGAATGTTTGCTGATTATTAATTGTACACGCAAAGGGGATTGAACGCAGTGTGCGGCCGATTATACTCCCTCCCGCGCTCTTTAATTATTGGGCATTAAAAAGTTATATTTCAGAGTTGTGGTAGTGATCTTGATTTCTTTTAGTTGTAAATTATTAAATGAAATATATATGCGCGCTTCACTTTTTAAAAATAAACTATATACATACATGCATATGATATATACATATGTACATATATGATATTGTAGATATAAATATTTCTGTATTATTTTTTTCTTTTARAAAATTTTAAATGTTTATATCGTAAAATGCATTAAAATATTAGAAAAAATTCCATCTTAAAACCTTTTTACATGAAAAGTTGCTTAGTCTCGCATTAAATGTGTCAATAGATTGCCATTTCTCTCGTTTTTATTTAATTAAGCRTTCTCTACTTTAACTACTACAATTATGTACATACATATGTATATGCTAAGAAATGTAAATGCGTATGTATATACCACTAATTATAAACATATGTACATATACATATCTCCTTAGGTTGAGTTTTTTTTATTTTACAATTGCAAACTGCATACATATATAATACACTTAARTGTATATATGTATGTATATATAAATTTATTAGATATACTTATAAATATGTATGTACATACATATGTATGTATCAGTGATATGTATATATGTAGAATATATACTRTATTATGTATGTATGTATGTACATTTGATAGCGCCACCAACGCCAAGCACATTCAAATACAAAAATCTACCATTCGCTGCACCGGAACACAGTCTCATTGACTTGACCGCATCCTGTCCACGCTGCTTGGCCGATGCTGCTTCCAAACCCAATGGCAGCGAAGGTGAGTTCACACCACGCGTTTTGCATATGACAGTGTGGTTGTGTGTGTGTATGTCTTTTTGTGTGTCGTCAATGTGCGTGTGTGCTCGTTTTTTATATTTTGGTATGAAAACAAAACAAAAGAAAAAGGACAAAATTTAAATATGAATTGATGATGATTTAATCATATTTTATTACAAATATGTATGTATTGATATGTAAGTACGTGTGTATGCAACAGAAATATTGTTGATTTTAGCAATTTAAATATTTTACATTTGCTAAAAGGAATGCACTTTAAGGTCAACAATACTTGTCCAAGAATCCATAGCTACTTCATACTTCAGGGTTGTTTTAAGATATTAAAAAATAATCGAATTAACATTTGAATTAAATTTTTTTTTTATCCCAAATGCCGGATTGAAACAAATGTGTTAATTTCAAATACGCGTTTGAAAAATAAAAAATAGTAATCCCAAAATCAGAATCAAAAGCTGAAAAAAATTTTAATCCACTTTTTGTGATTAAAAATTTAAAATGTTATTTTTTAATTTAACGCTAAAAATTTAAAATCTAATTTTTAATTAAAACATCCGCAACTCTGATACTTACATATACATACATAGATWTGTATGTTTGTGAAAATTACGTGCAATTTTTTTTTTTAATATACTGTAAATTAATTTGGTGGTTGAAATTAAAAAAAATTAAACGAGTACACCACACTTGCACTAGTTCGGCGACGTAAAGCAAGAGTTGTTTTAACATAAATATCTCTGATCACCTGCGATACTTGCGTATCTTTTTCAATGAATTTGCTTGGCAACAATTATTTTATTATATTTTTTGTTTTGCTAATTTTGCTGCTTACATTTTTCGTTGTCACATGGCCAATTGCTTATTCTTTTTTGTAATATACATA